CGCGCGTGCTTGCCCTATATAAGTCCTATTGAGCCGCTATGAACAAAATCTTTATTTACGCACGCCCGTGCGTAAATAAGATGACGTGAGCATTTTTTTTATCTGGCTGCAAAGTACAGTTGTCGTCTTTTAAGCTGCAGTGCAGTGCAGTTTTTCTTCTCTTTAAAATATGGACGAAACCAGCGAAAAACTGCCCAATTTTTGTATCGGCATTTACCTCAGTAGGTCCTAATCCAACAAGCAGCAAAAATAAAGCCGATTAAAAAAAACTCGCAAGTTGCGCGTTTCGCAAATTTGTCGGAAGACCAGCTGCAGCAAAGTTTGGCCAAAAGACATTCACTGGGAACAGAACAGACACCAACTGGTCATCAACAACATTTAAGGGTAAAATTTCCGTTCTTATTGTTGTTTTTAAATTTGTTACGCACTTTTGTTATCTCCGAACAATCTGACTGAAGCAGGAAAATTTCTCTCGCAATCATGAACAACACAAATTACACAAGAAGACATGAATTTATTACTCACAAAAACAACTGCTGCCAGGTCTTCTCAAGAAGCCGTAATGACCAGCCAATGCTCGTAAATGAATATAAGTTTAAAGAAGGATGACAGTCGTCTTCGCCAAAAACATGTTTTCTGGATTTCGCCGAGCAAAACGTAAACATCTTTTCAGCAATCCAAACCATACTCCACGACTTCTTACGAACATGTTAGTATTTTACCTTTAGGTGAACTTTGAGACTCTTTTACCTTTGTTTCTGCTTAGTTTCCATTGATCGTTAACGAATAAAGAAGCAAATTTTCTTTCTCAGTTTTAAAGGAAGAACATTTTCATTCAAACTAGACGATTGTGGCGTGTTCGTAATCAGCCAATAGAACCGTTTGTTGATCTTTGTTATTGTGTAGCGCGTTACGAGAATTTTGCAGTTAATCAAAAAGCAAGCATTTTTTAGCTATGTTATAAAAGAATTTGCTCATGCTTTTAGCTGTGCGTATATCGAGTTATGGATGCACTTGGAAAGTTTGGAGAGCACTCAAGAAGCTAGAGTTGCACTCGGCTATCGCCTCGTGCAACTCTTGCGCATCTTTCGTGCTCTCCAAACTTCCCGCGTGCATCCATAACTCGATATACGCACGCTAAGCATGAACAAATTCTTAATTTTCATGTCGTAGTCGTGCAAAACGGGCAAAGGAATGTACAAAAAAGCGTGATGCACGTGCGAAGTTGTTGTTTTGCTTATAAAACCTATTGTTTTTTTTACGTTCTCGTTGCCGTCCACGTCGTTGGATCTTAAAGTCCCTAGTAATAAAGTTCGTGGAGGAAGAAATGGTTGTGATGGTAATGGAGATGCTGTGGTAGAGGTAGGGCGCCCATGGTGATGGAAATAGTAAGGTTGATGATAATGATAATAATGGTCATACCCTTTCTAACTTACCGGTAGTATCTCATCGTTAGAGGAAATTCACAATGTATCATTGACAGACCTTGGATCACAGACTACGGTGGCTTTGCTGATACAAACGTATAGTCAAAGGTGTCAAAACCGCATCTAATGGCGCGTCGTTTTAGTCGGACTGAGTCAGAAAACAGGAAATCAAAAAACACTTTGCGCGCTTGAGTGGTTGTTTGTTAACTTGATACCGGAACTAGGTCACGGCAAAAGCGTCCAAGCCTGCGTCAAAGACGGAAGCCGACTTCTGGTTAAGTCCATTTGCGACACGGCGCCGAAATCCTCCACCTGCGTACTAGGACTTGAGTACGCGCCATGATTGGTCTCTTTTAAAAATAGCCATTGTCGATTTGCCAATCAAAACGCACTTCCGGTAATTCGTTGAATCTTTTCGCGGACCAGAACAAGGATATAGGCGCTGCTTCACAAACGTTACTAACCGGAGTGAAATTACATCTGTGTTGCAGGCTATTGGTCAGGGTGGTTAAAGAAGTGTTAGTGTCCAATGCAAATGTTTTTACGGCAAAAAACGTATGCGCTTGCTGTAAATTGAACAAGATAATTCAAATACTGCAAGAGGCGTGGACGAATGCAGTATAAGGAATTGCGAGCTAATACCACAACCAGGAAGTGCGTGTTATAAACTCTTCCCAAATTTTGCTCCAGTGAGAACACAATGAAACGAGATCGAGGCTCGAGTGAATAATTAGCCCTTTGCAGAGCTTGGTCACATGGTTGGGTACCACTTGGCAAAGGCTCGCTGGATGGCAAGCCATTCAAGCGTTCGTTCTGATCACAAGGTTTTAAGTGCGATGGGACAAAGCCTTAAACTGGGAATTCTTGGCTCGATTGAATCAAAGCTTTGTGATCGGAATAAACGCTTGGATGCCTTGCCATATAGCAAGCCGTTGCCTAGAGGTATCTACGCATGTTTTCAGCTCTGCAAAGGGCCTTATTCGTTCAAGTCCCCAGTTGGCGCCTATGTTCACACGAATGCAGGAACCATCCATTGCCGTAAAATTACAAACAACAAGTCTCTAACGCATTTGCTCTAGCTTTAGAGTGGACTCGATATTCTCCATACTACGCCTCTAGTGTTTAGATTTTTATCCAGCGCATGTTATTTTTGCCGAATTGCAACAGTCTTTGTCAATTATATATCCATCCTACAAACAAGGCAGCTTACCATTCGTCATAATCTACACAACAATCACCAATTCCTTTACAGATTTCATCGCAGTAGCAGGATCCCCAAAAGCCATCGTCACGACTATGCGGACCGTAGAAGGTTGTATTACTACGACAAGATGCCTGCGACTTATCGCAAAATTTTCCAACGCCATTGGCATCCACAAGGGTTTCGAACTCGGTGCAAAGCAAGCTTTGGTTTGCAGTGAATGGTTGACAAGGACCTGGAAACATGGTAATACATGTAAATCTAATTGAGTCATAAGTTCTATTCGTTAGATTTGCAAGCTTGTGGTGACGTCATATTATATATCTTATTTGTTCATTTTTGCTTACTATGCAAAAAAATGCCTTCGGCAACCCATCGTTGCCATGCACAGTAGAGAGATTTTAAATCAAGTTTGAGCTACGGTCGAACGGGTAACAAAAACGTACAGCCTGTTTTGCTGCTGTCCGTTTGGCATTTTACCGTAGCTTTAAATCTTTGATTTTACACGCCATTGAGACTATCACCAACTTTATTATAATACTAATAAAATAATAATAATAATAATAATAATAATAATGATAATGATGATGTTGATGATGATGAGCCGGTCAAAGGCGTTGAAATATTACTTTGTTCATCCCTTGCATATGGATATTGTGTCTTCCCAGAAGTGAGGCCTAATTTTCGAGTTCTTTCCATCGATTAAATCGGTTGAAAAAGATCATTGAAGGCTTGGTGCCTAGTACGCCGCTGGAAAAATGCTGGAAAATGTAGTCCCTCGGACGAAAAGAAAAAACCTTTGCTGGATTTGAAGGAAAAACAGTAGTTCGAAGTGGAGGCAATTTTCTAATTATTAATCTGCTAATAATTTTCGTAACGTACCGTTCCATCGAATTATATAATTAGTGGAAGAGAATGGTTATGAAAGCTATAGCACACTTCTGCACATGCAATTCTTTCGCAGTTTCATGTTAGGAGCTCCCTGACAGCACACGACCTTCTTTTAATTAACAAGTCGTGGCTAGATAAAAACTAATTCAACAACTTTATTTGTCAATAAGATTGAGATGATGGGAATACCATTTAACGCTGTCCACTTTCAACTCCTAAAGAGCGTAGCAAAACATGTAATAAAGATCTCTGACGGGCTTAAAACCATTCCATTCTCTGAACTATATAATTTCTCCGATATTGTTCCTGGTGAACGCGGCACTCATGTTCAATGTATCTGGAGACAGCAGGTCACCGTGATTACTGGTGCTGACCAAAAAGGATATCTTACCTGGATACATTTGACCCTGTCCAATGAACGGACCACAGTAGATCAGGATGACCAGGAAACAAAGGGTAAATATTCCCATGTTGAACCTTTCAGCTTAACAGAGCTGGGGATGAGCCTGAAATTACAGGAAATGACAACTGAGCACCACTGGAGACCCAGTTTGCCGTCAGCGCTGGACTCTAAGGTTATGGATAGCCCTTACGCTAGCACGAAAGCCAAACTATGAATTGTGAAGTCCTTGATGAGGCGCGTAGCGTTGAGGTGGCTATAATTATCTCATATCCAAAAAGGGAGTGGGATAATTTTTTTTTTTAAAAACGCCCACAAAATATCGAGAACTCTTCCCATCTTTATTTTAAAAGAACAGATTTTCAGCTTGTTTTAATTTCGAGCAGACTTGTACAGTTACCATATTTGGATAGCATCGCACAATGGCTCATATACCAAGATGGCTAAGCCAATCAGAGCTCTAGAATTGCATTAGCCAATGATTCCATTATCAGAGACTGATGAGTTA